GGTCCGGGGGGGGCCGTTGCGGGGGGGGCCCCCGCCGCTGCGAGGTGTGCGGGGCGGGCGGGCGGCTGCGCTGCGGCCGCTGCCGCCTCGCGTACTACTGGTGAGAGCCCCGCTGGCTGCGGGGGACGGGGCAGGGCCCGGGTGAGGCCCGGGGGGCAGGGACGAGGGTGAGGGCGCAGGGAGAAGGCCTGGGACGAGCCCCCCGAGGCAGGAGCAGCCCTGGGGCACAGGGGCAGGGTGAGAGGCGGGGACCAACCCCGGGATGAGGCTCAGGGCACGGGGAGGAGGCCCAGGGTGAGGCCTAGGAGGCAGGAACAGGCCCGGGACACGGCAAGAGGCAGGGACTAGCCCCGGGATGAGCCTCAGGGCACACAGAGAAGGCCCAGGACAAGGCTGAAGGCACGGGGAGGAGGCCCAGGGTGAGGCCCAGGAGGCAGGAACAGGCCCAGGGCAGGGCGAGAGGCAGGGACTAGCCCCGGGACACACAGAGAAGGCCCAGGACAAGGCTCAGGGCACAGGGAGAAGGCCTGGGACGAGGCCCCCGAGGCAGGAGCGGCCCTGGGGCACAGGGACAGGGTGAGAGGCAGGGACTAACCCCAGCACGAGCCTCAGGGCACAGGGAGGAGGCCCAGGGTGAGGCCCAGGAGGCAGGAACAGGCCCAGGGCAGGGCAAGAGGCAGGGACTAGCCCCAGGACACATAGAGAGGGCCCAGGACAAGGCTCAGGGCACCGGGAGAAGGCCTGGGACGAGGCCCAGGAGGCAGGAGCGGCCCTGGAGCACACGGGCAGGGCGAGAAGCGAGGACTAACCCTGGGATGCAGCTCAGGGCACAGGGAGGAGGCCCAGGAGGCAGGAACAGGCCCAGGACAGGCCAAGAGGCAGGGACTAGCCCCAGGATGGGGCTCAGGGCACAGGGAGAAGGTCCAGGACACAGAGAGAAGGCCCAGGACAAGGCTCAGGGCACATGGAGAAGGCCCAGGATGAGGCCCAGGAGGCAGCGCCAGGCCTAGAAGACAGGGACAGGCCCAGGGCAAGGACTGAGAGACAGGGATGAAGCCTGGGATATGGTCTGGGACACAGGGACAGGGCAAGAGGCAGGGACTAGCCCCAGGATGAGACTCGGGACACGGGGACAAGCCCTGAGACAATGCTTAGGCCACAGGGATGAAGCCTGGGTGGCAGGGACAAGGCCTGGGACAAAGCCCAGGAGGCAGGGACGAGGCCCGGGATGGAGCCAGGGAGAGAGGGAGAAGGCCCAGGAGGAAGGCAGGCAGGCAGGGTAGCGGGAAGCGGAGCGGGCACGCTCAGCTGGAGCATTCCTCCTCGCTTCCAACGGTGCCCGCATCAAATAGAGAGCAGTGCAGTGAGCTTCCTGGCCGTTTACACAAATATCTTCACTTACACAGAGTCCTCGGTGAAGTCATATGTTAACTATACATTTCATTGGTTTCACAATGACTTGTTTGGCTTTGAGGCTTTTTTTTTTATGTACCGCAGTGTTGAAAGCCACACATTTGCTCAAACCAAACTGTATCGGGAGTTTTGTGAGTGATTTAAGTAAGGATTTATCGCACAGAATCGTGGTCGCCTGGCAGGACAGCGCTGTGTTCCCGTTTGGGAATAGCAAGCATATATTATGTACTCTGAGCAGACTCGGGGCTGGTGGCTGTTGTGGGTAATTCTTGCGTTGAAAGTCCAGAAGGTACAACGGGCAGTAATCTTTCCTTCCACCCTTTCCAAGCAATCAAAAATGTCGTTCTTCCCTTATTTTGTTAGTGATGTACATCATCAAAAAGCTGACTGGGTTAGTATCCATGAGCGAATATGCCAGCTGCTGATTCCAATCCGTACGTCCGTCCCTTTTCTCCTTTCTGAAAAAGAAAGAAAACATGGCACGGAACAGCTGGTGAAGAGGCAGGTATGTACAAGAAAAACCAATACCACTTCAAAGTGCTGCCAGTGAAATTTGATTAGATCGCTTCTTCCTGTATTTTGATGTACGTAGCATTAGGAGGGCACCTCGTTGGTTGATCAGTATTTAGTTGCAGAGCTTTAATTTTTTTTTTTTTTAAACAAAACCTGTATAATAAGGGGGGTGGGAGCATCCCCTCTCCGATTCCACGAGCCTCTTGCCTTTTTCGCAGTCCTCAGCTTCCTCAGGCAGCGTCAGTCCTGGATCTCCTGCCCTGCCAGGTAGTTAGTCCATCTCCCCGCTTAGTTTGGGATCCAGCTGAGTTTTGCTCATCCTTCACTGATAAGAGGGATTCCCCTTTCTCCAAACAGGCGGGCGAAGAAATAAAGTCCCCTCCCTTTGTTTACTGGCCAATTTTAAATGCCCTTTCCCGCTAAGAACGGTCTTTTATCTCTGCTTTTTGGCCTCGTGGGCAGTGCAGATGTGCAGCTCCTTTCCAGCCCGAGTGGTTTTCAACTATTTTTTCTGTTTGTTTATAGGGTGGCAGGATCTGCTTTTCCACAATGTTGATAAAATAAAATAACCCACCCAAATACATCTGCTCCTTAAAATCTTGCCCGTAAAAATAAATTATCCTTCTATCGTTGCATAACTCCTAATCGCAGAATAATCGGACAACAGAACAGCTGAAAGTGAGCTGGTAACAATCGAACGGTGCCACTGAGAAGATTGTTAATCTTGTGGATTTTACATCGTGTATTATTTTTAAGGTATTTTCTGGGCCAGGTGCTAGTGCTTTGGCAACTGGCTCGTTGCTGCGACCTTTCTTGGGAGCATCCAGACAGAGAACGTCTAAAAGAGGTGGAACCTACGTAGACAAAAATGCTGCTTGGCGAAAGCTTGTGAGAAGCTTTAGGCAGCCGATTCCTGCAGGTTTTGTGGGAATTAGGCACTGACAACCCAGTTTGGTTTTGAAAATCCCATCTGCTTGAAAATCACAGGCAAGATTGGTGACCAAAGTCTGAAGAAAGCGTGTTAGAACAGCACGTCCCAGAAGCCTCGGGACATATGCAAAAGCTTCTTTGTTCCAGGTTACGTTGAAGTTGATCTTTTATGAAATCTCCAAAGAAGAGAAGTTAAAATTGGTCTTTTTGGGGGTGGGAGGTGGGTTTTTTGCATCCTTAGCTGCTTAAAGCTTTTCCAAGAAACTTTACCTACAGATTGAACGCTGATGTTGATTTTATAGCAACTAAAATTCTGCAATATACATTACAAAAGCCCACGTGACTGCCAGATGAAGGAAGTACTCCTTGATTAGCTGGAAGGTAATCATTCGGTTTTATTGGGTTCCAGGGGAAGAGAGCAGGAAGGCAGGGCTGGCGGAGAAGGGCGAGTCACCCCTCCGGATTGGAGTGCACACCTAGGTCAGCAGACAGCACCTGCAGACGTGCAGCTCGAGCCGAGGCTCGGAATGACTTCACAGGAAGAGCCATAGGGAGCAGACCCCGATTTTTTTCTTCCGAAGTAGAGATTTTTATAGAATCTTTAACAACCCTTATTACATTTGTTCTTTGACCTTTGTCTCCAGACTATTAAAACAGATTGCAGGAACGGCATGTGCGGGGACGCTTTGTCTTCCTTCTCTCCTAAGAAAGGAATGAAAAAGCGGAAACGTTTTGTTTGTTACCTGCTTGCTTTCGCAGCAAGCCTGCAGCTCCTAGCCCACAAACAAAGTCAGCCTTTACGTACAGCACGGTGTAGGGTAGACAACGGTGGGCCTAGACTGGCTGACAAGCGTT